GGTATTTTTCCATTTTTAATATCATCTATTCCCGAAATAATGTTTTGCGTCTGTCTAAGAGTTAAATTAGATGTCAAAGTTGCCTGATATGTTGCTATTAAGACAAGACTTAAAAAGAATACACTAAACGTTAAGAATCGACCAGCACCTGTTTTCACAGTAAAATCCACACCATATCCCATGATATTACCAAGAGGATACCATGTACTCATTACAAGTCGAGAAATGGTTGGTTTATGCTTTAATGCGTCATTATGTCCTCCTTCGTATAAATACATTAATAGAGCAGCGAAGATAATAGAACCCAAGATACATAAGCGAACACCCAACGAGAATGGTCTTAAGTAAAACCAGAAATCTGGACTAGCCGAGGCGGTATTTCGAACAATGATACGTAATGAATTGTCATAGATTGAATCAGTAAAAGAAACTTGTTCTCTTCGTTCAGCAAGAATTGTTACATCACCTGCTACTATATCATAAACATTATTTGCTACATCGTCTATGAGTCCATCGTAGCTCTGAGTTGATGGTAACAATGTAATGTTTGGAATGAATCCCATATTTGTTTGTAAAATAGCAAGAAGATCAGGTATATATCCAATTAATTTTGTTTTTATTATTCCATTTGTATCTGCTACTTGTTGGGTCATTGTAAACGGAGGCGCTTCAATTACAGCAATTCGTAAGGTTACACCTGCAATAGTTGCATAACCTGTGGGAGCTACTAATGACTGTCCAGGCCATATAATCATATTTTGTTGTGAATGTGGTGTCCAAGCATCTGAACTACACCATACTAATACTGGAACATAGTTTAACTCATTTGATAAGCTCTGAATATTTTTCACAATATAATAAACACCACTAACTCGATCCGTTGAATTAGCACTAAATTGTACAAGTCCAGATACACCAAGAAATGTATCAGTATTAATTATATCAAACAGTGAACTGGAATCAAGTAAACGTCGATTAAAACAAAATGAATCATTTACAATTGATAGACATGGAGAAGAATGATTATTCGTGATTGAACAAAGTTGCTCTAACGATCGGATCAATAACCAAGTTGCATCAAATGTAAATAACGCATAAGCATTCACATTTTCTGCTCCAGGAAATGTTTCAGGTTCATATTGTTGCCATATATCATATGCTGCATTTAATAATGTTGTATTTGTTGGTTCATTAACAGCACTTGCAACTACAGGCTCTATAGTCAATATTCCAATTAACTTTGCATTATCTGCTTGACTAAAAGAATTTAATTCAACAGTTGACCCTAATATCCATGTAAACTGTGGTCCAAGTACATCACAATCTATTGCCTCTTGTAAAATTAAAGATGTATAATCTGTCTCGGCCCATAATATAACATTTCGAATTGGACTACTAAGTAAGAGACTCTTTAGATCACCTCGAATAGTATGTGTCACAGTATCAAACATTATCAT